ACTGAAGACTGGAGTAATGATGCTGAAAATACAGCTGCGCATCACAGAAATACATTACAGTTTAACAGATATTCACATAGAAAACAGCTGTTTTAAATTGTAAAAATATTTCAAAATGTTATAGTTTTTGCTGTACTTTGGATCAAATAAATGCAGGCTTGGTGAGCAGAAGACACTTCTTTAAAAAACAAACAAAAAAAAATCTTACTGTTCAAAAACATTCGACTGGTAGTGTGTGTGTGTATATATATATATATAATTTTTGGGTCAGAGACATTTTTATGAATCATTATGGTATGTTTGATTCCTGTCAACAGAATCGTTGTCATGGAGAAGCGAGTGTGTGATGACCAATCAGGACTCTGTAATCTGTATATCCTGGAGACGGTTGACTCCACCCCCGTTTCCCAAACACACACGGCCAACCTCTGTTATTAATTAAACTTGTCCTGATGTTAATAAAGACGTCAGCACAGGTGTGAGAACACAGGCCGCGTCTGTCTCCAGTGTGTGTGTGTGTGTGTGATTTCTCAATCAGTCCACTGCAAAACCCTTACAAGACTTGTACAGTTTCTAACTAGTGTGCTGTACAGAAACAGAGAAATCCAGAGCAAATGAGAATGTGGATGGGCAGTCATTCTAGATTTGCAGGTATTTCAGAGACACAGCAGGTCCTGACAACGCCATCATTACAGTGTGTGTGTGTGTGTGTGTGTGTCTGTGTGTGTGTGAGTGTGTGTGTGAGAGAGAGAGTGTGCATGTGTGTATATCTGTGTTATCTGTGTGTGTGTGTGTGTCTGTGTGTGTGTGAGTGTGTGTGTGAGAGAGAGAGTGTGCATGTGTGTATATCTGTGTTATCTGTGTGTGTGTGTGTGTCTGTGTGTGTGTGAGTGTGTGTGTGAGAGAGAGAGTGTGCATGTGTGTATATCTGTGTTATCTGTGTGTGTGTGTGTGTCTGTGTGTGTGTGAGTGTGTGTGTGAGAGAGAGAGTGTGCATGTGTGTATATCTGTGTTATCTGTGTGTGTGTGTGTGTCTGTGTGTGTGTGAGTGTGTGTGTGAGAGAGAGAGTGTGCATGTGTGTATATCTGTGTTATCTGTGTGTGTGTGTGTGTCTGTGTGTGTGTGAGTGTGTGTGTGAGAGAGAGAGTGTGCATGTGTGTATATCTGTGTTATCTGTGTGTGTGTGTGTGTCTGTGTGTGTGTGAGTGTGTGTGTGAGAGAGAGAGTGTGCATGTGTGTATATCTGTGTTATCTGTGTGTGTGTGTGTGTCTGTGTGTGTGTGAGTGTGTGTGTGAGAGAGAGAGTGTGCATGTGTGTATATCTGTGTTATCTGTGTGTGTGTGTGTGTCTGTGTGTGTGTGAGTGTGTGTGTGAGAGAGAGAGTGTGCATGTGTGTATATCTGTGTTATCTGTGTGTGTGTGTGTGTCTGTGTGTGTGTGAGTGTGTGTGTGAGAGAGAGAGTGTGCATGTGTGTATATCTGTGTTATCTGTGTGTGTGTGTGTGTCTGTGTGTGTGTGAGTGTGTGTGTGAGAGAGAGAGTGTGCATGTGTGTATATCTGTGTTATCTGTGTGTGTGTGTGTGTCTGTGTGTGTGTGAGTGTGTGTGTGAGAGAGAGAGTGTGCATGTGTGTATATCTGTGTTATCTGTGTGTGTGTGTGTGTCTGTGTGTGTGTGAGTGTGTGTGTGAGAGAGAGAGTGTGCATGTGTGTATATCTGTGTTATCTGTGTGTGTGTGTGTGTCTGTGTGTGTGTGAGTGTGTGTGTGAGAGAGAGAGTGTGCATGTGTGTATATCTGTGTTATCTGTGTGTGTGTGTGTGTCTGTGTGTGTGTGAGTGTGTGTGTGAGAGAGAGAGTGTGCATGTGTGTATATCTGTGTTATCTGTGTGTGTGTGTGTGTCTG